TGGAAAATCCTCAGAAACTCAGTTTCTCTCTCTTTCTACTCTCTCCAGTCGTAATCTTCAGGAAGGGGAGAGTGGCTCATGGGCTTAGTGGATAAATCACAAAATGGGCAGAATACTGTAGGTGAGTTTTTTTTAATTACACTTTAAGTTCTGGGGCTCATGTGCAGATCATGCAAGATTGTTACATAGGTATACATGTGCCATGGTGGTTTGCTGCATCCATCCCCCCGTCACCTATATTAGGTATTTCTCCTAATGTTATCCCTCCCCAATCCCCCCACCCCCCAACAGGCCCTGATATGTGATGTTCCCCTCCCTATGTCCATGTATTCTCAGGGTTTTAAGTGACAAATGAAGTCTAAGCTGTGATTGCACTGGTCGGTGACTGAAACTGAAAATGGGGATTGGAGGTTAAGTGGAGAGAATATGTTGCTAAAATGTTAGAAGGATCTTCTTCACAGAGAAGTTGAGGCTCTAGAGGATAATGGTAGGGTATAGAGTGGAGATGAAGCTTGTCAGAGGTTGAAGTCAATGGGGAGGATAGGAGAGTGTTTCTGATTTTGAGGAAGGATGGATAGAGGGTTTTATTGTGAATAACGTGAATGAGTGTCATGACCACTCATGTTAGGATTCTTGAGTATTGGGAGATGTGGCTACAGTGGACAGGGCAGTGTCAGAGAAACTAGATTTTACAATAGAAGCTTTTAAATTACCTACCCATAACCAACTTCTCAGGAGACTGACACGCCCACAGCAGGCCCAATGCACATGGCCTGTAGGCTAATTTCTGACATGCCTGGCACTTTGCTGTCCACCAACTGAGCTTTATGTTAATCATGAATGCTCGTGTAAACTTCCAATAATGTTTATGGCCAGGCGTGGTAACTCACGCTTGTAATCTCAGCACTTTGGGAGGCCAAGGTGGGCGGATTACTTGAGGTCAGGAGTTTGAGATCAGCCTGGCCAACATGATAAAACCACGTCTCTACTAAAAATACAAAAAAATGAGCTGGGCGTGGTGGGGGCGCCTGTAATCCCAGCTACTCGGGAGGCTGAGGCATGAGAATTGCTTGAACCCAGGAGGTGGATGTTACAGTGAGCCAACATTATGCCACTGCACTTCAGCCTGGTTGACAGAGCAAGATTGTCTCAAAAAACAAAACAAAACAAAACAAAACTTCTTTATGTCAGTTATAGTTGTAATGATGCAATTTATAAACAAACCAATAGGAGTATAAACATGCAGGTGTTTTTTGTTTTTTGTGGGTTTTTTTAGGAGATACTCGATTTTTTTATTGTACTTTAAGTTCTAGGTTACATGTGCAGAACATGCAGGTTTGTTTCATAGGTATAAACATGCCATGATGGTTGGCTGCATCCATCACTGAATCATTTATATATTTCTCCTAATCCTATCCCTCCCTTAGCCCCTCACCCCCTGACAGGCCCCATGTTCCCTTCCCTGTGTTCTCATTGTTCCTTTGTCTCATTGTCATTGTTCTCATTGTCCAACTCCCACTTATGAGTGGGAACATGTGGTGTTTGGTTTTCTGTTCTTGTGTTAGTTTGCCAAGAATGATTGTTTCCGGCTTCATCCATGCCCCTGTAGAGGACATGAGCTCATAGTTTTTCATGGCTACATAGTATTCCATAATGTATGTGTGCCACATTTTCTCTATCCAGTCTAACATTGATGGGTATTTGGGCTGGTTCCAAGTCTTTGGTATTGTGAACAGTGCTGCAATAAATGTGCATGTGTCTTTATAATAGAATGATGTATATAATTCCTTGGGTATATGCCCAGTAATGGGATTGTTAGGTCAAATGATATTTCTAGTTCTAGATCCTTGAGGAGTCACTGCAATGTCTTCCACAATGGGTGAACTAATTTACACTCCCACCAACAGTGTAAAAGCATTCCTATTTCCCCACATCCTCTCCAGCATCGGTCTCCTGACTTTTTAGTGATCGCCATTCTAACTGGTGTGAGATGATCTCTCAGTGTGGTTTTGATTTGCATTTCTCTAATGACCAGTGATGATCTTTTTTCATGTTTGTTGGCTGCATAAATGTCTCCTTTTGAGAAATGTCTGTTCATATCCTTCACCCACTTTTTGATGGGATTGGTTTTTTCCTACAAATTTAAGTTCTTTGTAGATTCTGGATATTAGCCCTTGGTCAGATGGGTAGACTGTAAAAACTTTCTCCCATTCCGTAGGTTGCCTGTTCACTCTGATGATTGTTTTGCTGTGCAGAAGCTCTTTGCTTTATCAGATCCCATTTGTCTATTTTGGCTTTTGTTGCCATTGCTTTTAGTGTTTTAGTCACAAAGCCTTTGCCTGTGCCTATGTCCTAAATGGTATTGCCTATGTTTTCTTCTAGGGTTTTTATGGTTTTAGGTTTAAATCTTTAATCCATCTTCAGTTAATCTTTTTTTTTCCCATTTATTTTATTGCGTTTTAGGTTTTGGGGTACATGTGAAGAACATGCAAGATTGTTGCATAGGTACACACGTGGCAGTGTGATTTGCTGCCTTCCTCCCCATCACCTACACCTGGCATCTCTCCCCAGCTCGCCACCCTTTGTATAAGGTAGTATGGAAGGGATCTAGTTTCAGCTTTCTGCATATGTCTAGCCAGTTTTCTCAACAGGTATTGTTTTATTAAAATAAGTTGAACACTTTGACTATATAATCAATAATCTTTTAAAAATCACTGTCAATTTGATGACTAAAAGTCAGCCATACAACTATAAATGGTTTTGAGAAAACTGTAAAGATCTAAATAGAGGCTGTAGTTAGGTTTTTTCCCCACAAGAACCTTTAGGTTCTAGCTCCATTTTAAGAAAATATCAACTCATGTGGATATAGCTTATGCAAGAAAGACCTAGGGGAGCTCTTATTATGGACTCCCATTCCATGAAAATGCATTGGCCCTTTATTAAAAATTCATGAATGGCTCAACATTTATGATTTCAGTTTAAAACAAAATACTAAGGTATATCTGTATACTTTTTTACTTTAGCCAAGTATTTTGATTGAGCCTTTCAACATGAGGAGACGGAAGGGGGTTCAAGCCCTTTTGTTCAGCATAGCACAGGACGTCCAGGAGAGAGGTAAGTGGTGGGTGACCGGAAGTGTCAGCTGTCCATTGAAAAACACCCCTACACTTCAAGGAAGCATTCCACAAATGATAACTATCATCATCACATACAAGGGAGCTAGTGTTTAGCTGTCATTGTCTGCAGGCCAGTGTGTTCAGCTCATGGCAGGGGGTGAAACTGGCATCAGGGAGTGTTTGCCAAGTGAATATGGGTGGGGCTGCACCCTCCAGAGCTGCTGGGAGCAACCCTGGATACAGAGCCCGTAGCCTGGCATAGTCCCAGAGCTCCTCCTAGTGAGGGAGGAATCTGTGGGTGGGAGGTGGGGAAACCCAAACATAACAGACACTCTAGACTGGGCGTGGTTCCCTGGGAGCTGGGTCTCAGATCCTCTTCTAGCAGATTTCTCCTTGGATCCCCCTCCAGGTCCATGCAAGATGGGCAAGTACAGGGTCCCCGTAGCCACCGGGGATTCACTCCTCGCGGGCTCCCCCAACCTGGTGCAGCTGTCGCAGGTGTGCGGAAAGGTGAGTGCGGACCCCGGAGAGAGCTAGGGCCCTGGAGTGCAGTAGAGTTACTGGGGGCTGGGGCCAGGGCCAGGGCCAGTCGGGGCAGCCTGCAGTCGGAGCCCCAGCCCCGAGAAACCCGGAAAGCAGAGTCAGGTCGGGTGCACTTGGTAAGTCTGATACGGCAAGGAAAAGGAGAGGCGTTTCCCTGCTGAAGTGGAAGGAGCAGAGACCCAGAGACACCCGCTGGGGTGCGCAGGGGTTCCCCAGACATGGCAGGAGGAGGGAGGCTGGCACCCCACTGTAGCTGCTGTCCCTCCTCACCTCCGCCTGGTTCAGTTATCTCCCTCCGAGGGGAAAGCGGAACCAGGATTCTCTGAAGGTTCACCGACCCTACCACGCTCCCTGAACACCCCAAACCCCACACTGAGCTGCGTCCTGTCGCGCAGGAGGCGGAGGCGGAGGCTGAGATCGACGTCCCCCTGCACCTGGGGCGCCTCCTGATGGTGAAGCTGTGCAAGCACAAGGGGCTGTTGAGTCTCGACTGGTTCTGCAAGTGGATCTCAGTGCAGGGCCCGGGGCGAGGCCTTTTTCCCCTTCTACCGCTGGGTGCAGGGCAACGGGATTATCTACCTGCCCTAGGCTACTGGTGAGCTCCATGGAGAAGGGGCGCGGCCCCGGGGTGCTGAGGAAGAAGCGGGTAGGGGGAGGCTACTGCAAAACAGGGAAAGATGAGGGAGAGGGGGAGAAGTGAAGGAGGATGGGGCAGAGGAGGGTGGCTGATGGAGAGGCCTGAGCGCGGAGGAGTGACAAGGTGTACCAGTGTGCCCCAGAAAGTCCTTGATCCCCTTCTAGATGCCGAGAAACCCGCCACCCACCCCCTTCCCCCTACCTCCATGTTCTTCCTTTAGGTGGGGCTCCTGGAAAGATGGGTTAATCGTGCCTATAGCAGGGAATAGGCAACCAGACCTTCCCAGGGACGTGCGATTCCTCGAGGATAAGAATTTAGACTTTAAGTTCTCCCTATCAAAAGGGTGAGTGCCAGGTTAAGGCTGGGCACTTCCCAGGTTGCAAGGTAGGATCCTTCCTTGATCTTCTTGTACTCCATTCTTTCCACAGGTTGAAGGACTTGGCCATCAAGGGGACACTGGATTTCACAAATTGTGTGAGAAGGCTGGAAGATTTCAAAAAAATATTCCCACGTGGAAAGACTCCCGTGGCTGGTCAGTTTCCATAACCTCCCAAAACCAGTATTCAGATTTCCAACCCAGGGATTTGAAAGGGATGGGGGAGAGAGAATGGAAGAGTAATGTGTCAGTGGGGTTAGGAGCTCAGAGCTCACAGTGTGCTCCCCAACTGATGTTCCTAGAGTGCGTTTATGATTCTTGGAAGGTTGATGCCTTCTTTGGGTACCAGTTTCTCAGTGGTGCAAACCCCATGCTCCTGAGGCATTCTTCAAGCCTCCCAGCCCACCTGGTGCTGCCTGCAGGGATGGAAGACTTGAAGACCCAGCTGGAGAAAGAACTCCAGGTGCTGCTGGGCTTTCTCTGCCCATCTAGCATCCCAGCCGCTCCCACCACCTCCGTTACCCCCATCTCCCTTCTCTTTGCTTCCTTCTCCTCCCATCTCCAGCCCCTTCTCTCATCTCCTCCATCCTACACCCTCCTGCATTTGCACTTAGGATGTCTCAACTTTGGCATTATTAGCATTCTACGTCACATAATTCTCTGTGGGGGGGCTTTACTGTGCATCGTACAGTGTTTAGTAGCATTCCTGGCCTCTACCCCTTAGATGTCAGCAGCATCCCCCTAGTTGTGACAACTAAACATGGCTCTAGAGGTTGCCGAAAGTCCTGGGGTTGGGCAGTGAGGAGAGAAGGAATAGCCCCTGCTGAGAATGTTGATCTACAGCATCTCCTCCTGTATCTTTTTTTCTTTCTCTTCTGTCTCCATGTTCTTCTCTTCCTTCTTCACTGAGCATGTATCGGTCTTAGAGAGCAGCTCAAGCTTCTGGAGAAAAATAGCAAGAAAAACTAAACAAAGCTTTGGAGAGCTAAAAGCTGAATCTATTTTGGGGGGAAGATGGGTAGATAAAGGAAATATTTTTGCTATGTTGGCTAAAACTGACAGAATAGGGGATAACTGAAGAATAGGTTGGGTGTGGGGGTCTTATGTGGTAGAAAACCAGAAACTTCACTGCAGGGAGCTCCTAGTCTGAAGGAAGACATCAGTCATGAAACTTTGCATTCAATTGTTTGGTTCTGGGGAAAGTGATTGGAGTTTAAAGTAAAAAAGACTTGGAGGGGTAGAGGAAGGATCCACCCTGGAAAATGACAGAAAGACAGCTCCAGAAATGAATTCAACCCTGTTTATATTCCTGTCCCTGCCCCTGCCCCCGCCCCTGCAGGCTGGATCTTTGTTTGAAGTGGATTTCTCCCTGCTGGATGGGGTCAAGTCTAATGTCATCATTTTCAAGCAGCAATACATGGCAGCCCCTTTGGTCATGCTGAAGCTTCAGCCCGATGGAAGACTCTTACCCATGGTCATCCAGGTAAGAGGGCATTTTTCTACCAGTCACTGATCTTTTTTAGGGACTTAGATACACAGGTCCTCAGCCCCCCACTCTCTCTCCTGCTCTAGCTCCAGCCACCTCGACATGGATGTCCGCCACCTCTGCTCTTTCTGCCCTTGAATCTCCCCATGGCCTGGCTTCTGGCCAAGACCAGGGTCCGGAGCTCTGATTTCCAGCTGCACCAGTTACAGTCACTTGATGGCTGAGGTTATTGCTGGAGCTACAATGAGAAGCTTGCTAGCCTCCACCCTACCTACAAGGTACCTCAGTATCTCTTTCATTCTGTATCTGAATGTCCTTCAGATTTCAGACTCCTACACAGAGTCTAACCTTGTAGCATTTCAGTCTAGCAGCAATCAATTTATATGTGGAGACACATATACACAGTGCTATGGAAACACCCAGAACACACACTATGAGTTGGGGGGAATGTGAGAATAGGTTTTGCAAAGGAGTTGAAATTTGGGCTGAGGAGGTTTCCAGGTGGGCAGTCAGGGGTGGGACATTCCAGCCAGAACGATATATAGAGGCAAGGAAACAAAGGAACATGGATAATGACTGAGATTAGGTGAGATTAAAGTGTAGGGCATGAGTTGGGGCGAGGAGGAAGAACAGGTGTGAGGAGATGAGAGAAGAATCAAGAGTTATTTTCTGACCATGTGAGGCTTCCAATGCCTATAAAGACCCATTTGCACATGTCGGGAGGGCAACTGGATATGTGAGGCTGGAGTTCTACAAGAGGTATAGGTTGAAATACAGATGTTAGAGTCATTATAAAACAGAAGTATCTAAAGTCATTGTACTGGATGAAGTTCTCTAGAGTTTGTAGATACACTAGAGAATTTGACCCTGGATGTAACTCTAGGGTGATCCAACATTTACAAATTGAGAGGAGGGAGTGGAGTGAGAAAAAAGAAAAAAAAAGAAAAGTTAAAGGGACATGATTGAGGTAGGAGGAAAACAAAAAAAGAACAATCCATGGCAGCCAGGAAAAGAAGGTGTTTCAGGAGAGAGGCATGACTATCTGTCTCAAATGCTGCTGAGAGATCAAGAGAGTTACAGAAAAGCGACATTTGGATTTTTCAATATGGAAGTCACTGGTGAATAAAAAGATGTGCTATCTCAGGGAAGTGGAGGTGGAGGAAGCGTGATTCATGGGGGTGAGGAAGTAGATCTTCACTGGGTGAAGATTTGCTGTGAAAGAGAAAGCAAGAAACAGTTACTCCACATTCTCACCAACAGTTGGTATGGCCAGTATTTTTAATTTTTAGCCTTTTAATAGTTTTAAAACCATAATGATATCTCATTATGGTTTTAATTTGCATTTGCATAATGACTAATGATATTGAATATCTTTCATCAATCCTATTGGGTCTCTCTGGAGAACTCTAATACACAACTATTGCCTGTTTAATACTTATTAGTCATCCAGATGAAATGTTTGTTCAAATATTTTGCCCAGTTTTTGTTTTGTTTTTGTTTTTAGCCAGGGCCTTGCTCTGTCACCAGGGCTGGAGTGCAATAGAATGATTCTATATAACTGTAGCCTCTAACTCCTGGTGTCAAGTGATCGTCTCACCTCAGCCTCCCAAGTAGGTTAGACTAGAGGTGTGCAGGACCATATCTGGCTAATTAAAAACAAATTTTTTTGGAGATACAGGGTCTTACTACATTGCCTAGGCTGGTCTCAAACTCCTGGGTGCTAGTTATCCTTCCACCTCATTTGCCTCCCAAACTGCTGGGATTATAGACATGAGCCACCATACCTGGCCTAATTTTGCCTAGTTTCAATTAGGTTATTTGCGAACTTATGGTTGAGCTTTGAAAATTCTTTATATATTCTGGATACAATTAATTTATCAGATATGATTGCAAATATTTTCTTCCAGTCTGTGGCTTGCCTTTTCATTTCATTAACAGTATGTTTCAAAAAGCAGAAGCTTTAATTTTGTGAAGTCCAGTGCATCAACTTTTTTCTTTTTATGAGTCATGCTTTGGTGTCATATCTAACAACTCTTTGCCTAACTAATTGCTTCTGTGTCTATGTATAAGATAGGCATTCTTGTTGAATTCAATCTTTTACCATTATGTAATGCCCTTCTTTGTCTTTTTTAATCTTTGTTAGTTCAAAGTCTGTTTTGTCTGAAATTAGGATAGCAACCCCTGCTTTTTTCTGTTTTCCATTTGCCTGATAGATTTTTCTTCATCTGTTTATTTTGGACCTATGGGTGTCACTTCATGTGAGTTGGGTCTCTTGAAGACAGCATGCCATTGGTTCTTGCTTCTTTATCCAGCTTGCCACTCTGTGCCTTTTAATCAGGGCATTTAACCCATTACATTCAAGATTAGTATTAATATGTGTGGATGTTATCCTGTCATTATGTTGTTAGCTAGTTATTATGCAGGCTTGTTTGGTTGCTTTATAGTGTCACTGGTCTATGTACTTAAGTGTGTTTTTGCAGTTGTTAGTAATGTTCCATTTTTAGGGCTTCCTTCAGGAGCTCTTGTAAGGCAATTCTGGTGGCAATGAATTCCCTCAGCATTTGCTTATTTGAAAATGATCTTATTTCTCCTTTGCTTATATAGCTTAGATTGGCTGGATATGAAATTCTTGGTTGGAATTTTCCTTTAATTATGTCGAATGTAGGTCCCCAGTCTCTTGTAGCTTGTAGGGTTTCTGTTGAGAGGTCAGCTGTTAGTACAATGGGATTCCCTTTATAAGTGACTTGTCCTTTTTCTGTAGCTTCCTTTAACATCTTTTCCTTCATTTTAACCTTGGAGAATCTGATGACTATGTGTCTTGGGAATGATATTCTTGTGAAGTATTTTGTGGGAGTTCTCTGCATTTTCTGAATTTCAAAGTTGGCCTCTTTAGCTAGGTTGGGGAAGTTCTCATGGATGATACCCTGAAATATGTTTTCCAAGTTGCTTCCATTCTCTCCATCTCTTTCAGGGATGCCAATAAATCATATACGTGGTCTCTTTACATAACTCCATATTTCACAAAGGTTTCGTTTATTCCTTTTCAACTCTTTTTTCTTTATTCTTACCTGTCTTATTTAAGAAAACCAGTCTTCAAGCTCTGACGCTCTTTCCTCAGCTTGGTCTTGCATTGTGATTGCATTATGAAATTCTTGTAGTGTGCTTTTCAGCTGTATCCGGTTATTATTCTTTTCTATACTGGCTATTTAGCTGGTCCATTCCTATATCATTTTATTGTGATTCACAGCTTTCTTAGACTGGGTTTCAATATTCTTCTGAATCTCAATGGTCATCATTTCTATTTATATTCTGAATTCTATTTCTGTCATTTCAGCCATCTCATCTCAGTTAAGAACCCCTGCCTGAAGAACTACTGCAGTTGTTTGGAGGAAAGAAAGCACTCTGGCTTTTAAAATTGTCAGAGTTTTTGTGCTGGTTCTATCTCATTTTTGTGGGCTGATGTTTCTTCAGTCTTTGAAGTTGCAGTCATTTGGATGAGTTTCTTTTTTTTTTAATTTAGTCCTTTTTGATGACTTTTGGGGTTTGTGTATAAAGTGGGTTCAGTCAACTGGCTTTATTTCTGGAAGATTTTAGGGAGCTGTCTCATCTCAAGATTCCTAGACTGTGTGCTGTAACCCTAGGGGACTGGTATCAGGCACCAGCTTTGCTCTCTGGCTCAAAGTTAGGAACCTGTGCTGGAGGGACCAAGATGCTTCTGGACCACTGGCCACATCATTCCAATGAGTGGTACCAGCCAAAGTACTTTATAGGGTGGTGGCCACTGGATTAGTTTTCATTTGCATATACCAGCAGCAACAGCAGTGGCACCACAGCAAGATGAATGCTCCTTAGCTGCAGCAGGGTGCTAGTGGGTGCTGTGGTACCAGCCTCCATGCAGGCAATCACAGCAGTAAAAGTGGTAACATGGGGTCTTCCACCAGTGACTGTGCATGTTTGTGGTGGTGGTGGTGTTAGCATGGAGATAGGGTGGTGTTGGGAGTAGGACTGTGTGTGCAGCTGTGTGTGTGCTCATATGGGTGGTGGTGGCTGCTCAGGGAAGGGGTAGGGTTTGCTGTTTTCCATACCTAGTTTTGTGCCAATTGCAGTTTTGGCACAGGGCCAGGGCACTGCTGGCAGCAGAGCTGTTGTGTTCCATGCCCAACAACATTGACAAGTATGGCGAGGGAAGCCTGGTGCACATCTGTGAAGGCTGCTCTGCTGGAGCCATATATTGGTCAGGCATGGTCCACCAGCACAGGAGCTATGCTGTGGGCCCCCAAGGGGGTACCTGGCAGCTGGACTGCAAGCAGGTGCAGCCAGGCTGGGGCTCTGTGAGAGGCCAGCAGACCAAGAGATGCTCAGGTTAGACTGGTCCCGTCTCATGGGCAAGACCACCCGGCAGAGTTCAGGTCTGACTGTGCTCCTAGGGCTAAAGTGTCCTGTGGGAGCAAGTCAAGCCTAGAGACATGGGTGTCCCTGGCTATACTCCAGTAAGACACTGTTGCACCAAACTCTCTGGACTCTGCACCAGCTGTATTTCTGCCCCTACCTTTTCTCTAGACATCTCTTCCTGCAAACTCAAGTATCTCTGGTCTCTGGTTGTTGAGAGCTCTCCTCTTGCTAGGATTCTGGAGGTCCATGGTGCTCCTTGCCTTTTAAACTCACCCCTTCCACAGGAATTGGTGGGTGCCAGAACGAGTCCTGGTGTGCAGTATCCCTGTTCTGGGTTCCCAGCTTCCTCCCCTTCAGCCCAGCCTCTGTGCCTTCCCTCTGTCCACTCTCAAGAGAGAGTTGAGAA